TAAACTTATTCCTCTATAATTTTTACAATCTCTTTTGTCCCCCTTCCCTTTATATAAAGGGACTATACGTGCTCTCCGCCAATCCCTAGGTACCTTCCCCTCTTTCATAGATTTCTTAAACAAAAATACCAATTAATTTCAATTAATTTAATGTCAATTAATTTCAGTAGTAAATCCTTAGTTTAACCCTTAAACGGTCCAAACATATGGTACCCAGGCATCCCCAATTATTTTAATATAGCACACAGTGAGTGCACACACCCATTCTCTCATGTCTAGGTGACTCAGGCTTATTGTGGCAATGTTGAATGAATGACAAAGAAAACGTATATATACGTTTGGGGCGCTACGCGCGGGAACGTATATATACGTTTGGACCGTTTAAGGGTTAATGGACATTGAAAATGCTCGACAAAATCTGCTGGGTTAATTTGGCAACAATGAGCAAAGTATGTTGTTTACAGAGCAGCTCTGTATGACCCTACTGAGTTTAGTCCTTGGTTTTGATTATATTAATAATGTTGTTTACAGAATTGTTCATTATCACTGACTATGGCAAAACAATCCCATTACTATCCACCACAATTACCAATACTAGAAACTCATCTCCTCCCTTCTCTATTAGTCCATTAAATCATCGCTGGACTACATATACATGTAGCTCTTCAATTTTACACATCACTTACTTTGCCAAAATTGCTTAAAATCACTCCATTTGAACCATTTTTTATGCTAATTAAGAATATTGATTTTAAAACATAAAAAGAGATACGTACTTTAATAATATTAAAATCTAAGAGTCTTTATTTCCTCTGTTTTCTCCAGTGTCTTAAGTCCCTTTTCCAGCTCACTCATGTTATAAAATAATAATAATAATAATAATAATAATAATACAATATTTTAACATGATACATGTATATAGGTATATATATGTATTATAGGTAGTAGGTTGGTAGACAGCAACCACCCAGGGAGGTACTACCGTCCTGCCAAGTGAGTGTAAAACGTAAGCCTGTAATTGTTTTACATGATGGTAGGATTGCTGGTGTCTTTTGTCTGTCTCATAAATATGCAAGATTACAGGTACGTCTTGCTACTTCTACTTACACTTAGGTCACACTACACATACATGGACACGTTTATTTATACACACTCATCTGAGTTTTCTTTGATTTTATCTTAATAGTTCTTGGTCTTATTACTTTTCCTTTTATATCCATGGGGAAGTGGAATAAGAATCTTTCCTCCGTAAGCCATGCGTGTTGTAAAAGTCAACTAAAATGCCGGGAACAATGGGCTAGTAACCCCTTTTCCTGTAAAGATTACTAAAAAGAATAAGAAGAAAAAAAATTGTCAAAGTGGGAAGTCTGAATGTGCGTGGATGTTGTGCAAATGATAAGAAAGAGATGATTGTGGATGTTATGAATGAGAAGAAACTGGATTTTTCTGGCTTTAAGTGAAACAAAGCTGAAGGGGTGGGAGAGTTTCAATGGAGAGGAATAAATGGGATTAGGTCAGGGGTTTCAAATAGAGTTAGAGCTAAAGAAGGAGTAGCAATAATGTGAAGGATAAGCTATGGCAGGAAAAGAGGACTACAAATGTATAAATTCAAGGATTATGTGGAGTAAAATAAAGATTGGATGTGAAAAAGTGGGTTATAGTAAGCGTGTATGCACCTGGAGAAGAGAGAAGTGTAGAGGAGAGAGAGAGATTCTGGGAAATGTTGAGTGAATGCGTGGGAGTTTTGAATCAAGTGTGAGAGTAATGGTGGTTGGGGATTTCAATGCTAAAGTGGGTAAAAATGTTATGGAGGGAGTAGTAGGTAATTTTGGGGTGCCAGGGGTAAATGTTAAATGGGGAGCCTTTAATTGAGCAAGTGTAAGAAAGAAATTTGGTATAAGTAATACATATTTTTATGAAAAAGAGGATAAATAAATATACAAGGTATGATGTAGCACGTAATGAAAGTAGTTTGTTAGATTATGTATTGGTGGATAAAAGGTTGATGGGTAGGCTCCGGGATGTACATTTTTTATAGAGGGGCAACTGATATATCGGATCATTATTTAGTTGTAGCTACAGTTAGAGTAAGAGGTAAATGGGAAAAGAGGAAGGTGGCAACAACAAGTAAGAGGAGGTGAAAGTGTATAAACTAAGGGAGGAGGAAGTTAGGGCGAGATATAAGCGACTATGGCAGAAAGGTGGGCTAGTCCCAAAGATGATAGTGGGGGGGTTGAAGAGGGTTGGAATATTTTTTAAAAATGCAGAAATTAGAATGTGGGGCAGAAGTTTGTGGTTATAGGAGGTGGGGGCAGGAAAGGGAGTGTTTGTGGAATGATGAAGTAAAGGTGTGATAAAAGAGAAAAAGGTAGCTTACGAGAGATTTTACAAAGCAGAAGTTTTATAAGAAGAGCAAGTATATGGAGAGTAAAAGAAAGGTGAAGAGAGTGGTGAGAGAGTGAAAAAGGGAGAGCAGATGAAAGAGTGGGAGAGGCACTGTCAAGAAATTTTAATGAAAATAAGAAAAAATTTTGGAGTGAGTTAAACAAGTTAAGAAAGCCTAGGGAAAGTATGGATTTGTCAGTTAAAAACAGAGTAGGGAGTTAGTAGATGGGGAGAGGGAGGTATTAGGTAGATGGCGAAATATTTCGAGGAACTTTTAAATGTTAAGGGAAAAAAGGGAGGCGGTAATTTCATGCACTGGCCAGGGAGGGATACCATCTTTTTGGAGTGAAGAAGAGCAGACTGTAAGTGTGGTGGAGGTACGTGAGGCTTACGTAGAATGAAAGGGGTAAAGCAGCTGGAACTGATGGGATCAGACAGAAATGTTAAAAGCAGGGGGGAATAAGTGTTGGAGTGGTTGGTACTTTGTTTAATAAATGTATGAAAGAGGGAAGGGACCTAGGGATTGGCGGAGAGCATGTATAGTCCCTTTATATAAAGGAAAGGGGACAAAAAGATTGTAAAAATTAAAAGAGGAATAAGTTTACTGAGTATACCAGGAAAAGTATACGGTAGGTTATAATTGAAAGAATTAGAGGTAAGACAGAATGTAGAATTGCGGACGAACAAGGAGGTTTCAGAGTGGGTAGGGGAGTTGTAGATCAAGTGTTTTCATTGAAGCATATATGTGAACAGTATTTAGATAAAGGTAGGGAAGTTTTTATTGCATTTATGGATTTAGAAAAGGCATATGATAGAGTGGATAGAGGAGCAATGTGGCAGATGTTGCAAGTATATGGAATAGGTGGTAAGTTACTAAATGCTGTAAAGAGCTTTTATGAGGATAGTGAGGCTCAGGTTAGGGTGTGTAGAAAAGAGGGAGAATACTTCCCGGTAAAAGTAGGTCTTAGACAGGGATGTGTAATGTCACCATGGTTGTTTAATATATTTATAGATGGGGTTGTAAAAGAAGTAAATGCTAGGGTGTTCGGGAGAGGGTGGATTAAATTATGGGGAATCAAATTCAAAATGGGAATTGACACAGTTACTTTTTGCTGATGATACTGTGCTTATGGAGATTTCTAAAGAAAAATTGCAAAGGTTAGTGGATGAGTTTGAGAATGTGTGTAAAGGTAGAAAGTTGAAAGTGAACATAGAAAAGAGTAAGGTGATGAGGGTATCAAATGATTTAGATAAAGAAAAATTGGATATCAAATTGGGGAGGAGGAGTATGGAAGAAGTGAATGTTTTCAGATACTTGGGAGTTGACGTGTCGGCGGATGGATTTATGAAGGATGAGGTTAATCATAAGAATTGATGAGGGAAAAAAGGTGAGTGGTGCGTTGAGGTATATGTGGAGTCAAAAAACGTTATCTATGGAGGCAAAGAAGGGAATGTATGAAAGTATAGTAGTACCAACACTCTTATATGGATGTGAAGCTTGGGTGGTAAATGCAGCAGCGAGGAGACGGTTGGAGGCAGTGGAGAGTCCTGTCTAAGGGCAATGTGTGGTGTAAATATTATGCAGAAAATTCGGAGTGTGGAAATTAGGAGAAGGTGTGGAGTTAATAAAAGCATTAGTCAGAGGGCAGAAGAGGGGTTGTTGAGGTGGTTTGGTCATTTAGAGAGAATGGATCAAAGTAGAATGACATGGAAAGCATATAAATCTATAGGGGAAGGAAAGAGGGGTAGGGGTCGTCCTCGAAAGGGTTGGAAAGAGGGGGTAAAGGAGGTTTTGTGGGTGAGGGGCTTGGACTTCCAGCAAGCGTGCACGAGCGTGTTAGATAGGAGTGAATGGAGACGAATGATACTTGGGACCTGACGATCTGTTGGAGTGTGAGCAGGGTAATATTTAGTGAAGGGATTCAGGGAAACCGGTTATTTTCATATAGTCGGACTTGAGTCCTGGAAATGGGAAGTACAATGCCTGCACTTTAAAGGAGGGGTTTGGGATATTGGCAGTTTGGAGGGATATGTTGTGTATCTCTATACGTATATGCTTCTAAACTGTTATATTCTGAGCACCTCTGCAAAAGCAGTGATAATGTGTGAGTGTGGTGAAAGTGTTGAATGATGATGAAAGTATTTTCTTTTTGGGGATTTTCTTTCTTTTTTGGGTCACCCTGCCTCGGTGGGAGACGACCGACTTGTTGAAAAAAAAAAAAAAAAAAAAAACATGTATATGGTTGTACAAAAGAATATAATAGTTGAGTGTACATGCCAAAAGCCCCTTGTATACAAATAATTTCTCTTATAGCTTTCCATGAAAGCAATACACCCAGGGCTTGTTCACGTTTGTGAGATGTAATTAATCCAAAAAATGGCTTCATCATGCCTAATTTTCTTTTTTTAGAGAAAAAGTTTTTTACGTAAAAAAATCACTGGACTATAGTTCAGCATTTTTAGCCAATTTCGGTCAGATTTTCAAAATTTCTTAAAATCTCACCTGATTAAGAACAGACACTTAAAACGGTAAAATCAGATCATTTTAACTTGATACAAGACCCTGTTTTCTTGTAAAACCTGAATGTAGGATGCCAGTATTTTCATTAAAACTATTCTAATCTTCATAAATGTATATTTTTTGTGGGAAATAACTAATCTAACAAACAGTTCCATGATAAATACAATTTTTAGAAAAAAAAATTGTTTTCTCCCCTGGTCCTTCTTCAGTCACTAGACAACATACAGTTCATCAATTGTACACTATCACCAGATTTGTCAAAATTGCTTAAAATCACTGTTTGAACCATTTCTTTATGCTAATTAACATATAGTCAGACTTGAGTCCTGGAAATGGGAAGTACAATGCCTGCACTTTATTAAAGGAAGGGTTTGGGATATTGGCAGTTTGGAGGGATATGTTGTGTATCTTTATACGTATATGCTTCTAAACTGTTGTATTCTGAGCACCTCTGCAAAAACAGTGATAATGTGTGAGTGTGGTGAAAGTGTTGAATGATGATGAAAGTATTTTCTTTTTGGGGATTTTCTTTCTTTTTTGGGTCACCCTGCCTCGGTGGGAGACGGCCGACTTGTTGAAAAAAAAAAGAAAAAAAAAAACAATATTTACTTTAATACATAAAAAGAGATACTTGAATATAATACAAGACTTTTTTCCCTCTGATTTCTTCAGTGTCTGAAGCCCTTTTTCCAGTTCATTCATATTATCAAAAACTTTTATAATTTTCCATGAAAACTATTATATACAAGATATTTTCACGTTTGTGGGAAGTCATTGATCCAACAAACAGTTTCATCATGCCTAATTTTCTTTTTTTTAGAGAAAAAGATTTCCATCTAAAAAAAATCACTGGACTATAGTTCAGCATTTTTAGCCATTTTGGGGCAGATTTTCAAAATTGCTTAAATTCACACCAAGGATACTATTTTGTATAATGATTAATAATATAAGTGAATATAATTGAATCATTGTTTTCACAAAAAGCATTTTCAAATACTGTATAAATATATCTTTGTATTATACAAATTTTGATTCATTTATAATTAATATTCTACTGTACAACTATGAAATAATTACTATCCTACTGTACAACTATGATATACTCCTTAGTGTTAAGTAGACTGTAAGCCAATAATGTTAAGTTGGCTCATAATGCCTAGGCATAATAAAGGCTCTCTTTGCATTGCAACCCACTATTGTAAATACAAAATCTCAATGTACTGTTTGCAAAGACATAAAATAAATAAATAAATAAATAAATAAAGGGCTTCACAACAAAACAATGCCTCATATCACGTTAAAATTATATGATTTTAACTTTTTTTACGTGTGTATTTTTAATCAGAATACAAAATAGTACCCCTGGTGTTTTTTTAATCAATTTTGAATATTCACCCAAAAAATTACTAAAAATGCTGAACTGTAGTCCATTTATTTTCTTTAAATGAAAAGTCTTCTTTAAAGATGAAAATTAAGCATGATGAAACCATTTGTTGGATCAATTAATTCCCACAAACAAAAAATCCTGTATATATAGCTTTCATGTAAGGTTATAAGAGTTTCGATAACAGTGAGCTGTAAAAGGGGATTTCAGAAACTGAAGAAATCCAAAGGAAAAAACAGCCTTGTATTATAATAAAACTGTCTCTTTTTATGTTTTAAATTATGTAAGAATTTAATAAATTAAAATATAAATTTAATTTTTCACAAATAATTTTCATTATTATTATTACAGTATTATTATTATTATTATTAAAATTGCAAATATTAAACCTGGTATATTATTACTGTTTCTCATTCACAGGCACTATATGACCCATAGGGGTCATATAGTGCCTGTGAATGAGAAACAGAAGGCAATCAGGATTGATCTTAGAAAATGTACGGTAGTTCCAATTTCCTCGCTCAAATGCCCTTCACCAGCATCATGGCACCTACATCCCTTGAAGGGTGACCCCATTACAGTACTATTGTATTGTAACTGACTGATAAAGAATTTAGGTTGCATTTATGATAACACTAAGAAACTTAACAAATGCCTTTTGTAAAATAATTGCTTATTAATTAGTCATTCACCAGCTGCTCTTCACAATCCTGTTTCCTTTGTGCTACATGCTGAACATCAGCCCCTAGAAGATGGGCTGCATTAGCAGGGCCCTCAAGAAGTGCTGAGTAAACTAAAGCAGCACGAGATGCTGGTTCACCGGGAGTTTTCAGAGCTTTGGAAAGTATAGCAGCTAATAAGAGTTGAGACTGTGCTGGTCGAGACAAAAATATTCGAGCAGCTGCAGTAACTAGATCAGCATGGACCACAGTAGATGAAGAAGACAATGATGACATTCGCTGAAGTATGTCTGCAGCAGAGTCCAAATATGAAGCTAATTTACTGAGAACATGAAGCACTAAAGAAGGAGCTGTTTCTTGAACAGTGCCTCTTGACAATGCTCTTGTTACTGCTCTTATGAGGTCTTCTGGTAATTCTGGCAGAGGTTTTGTCTCAGATTTAGGTATGTCCTGAGATGTGGATGGAACAGAAACTAATTCACCATGCACTTGTCTTTCAGAATCACAGATGACCCTGAGGATAATGCTTGCTCTTTGGAATGACAGACAGAATTATTTGTCACTGGCAATAAATAAACAACCTTCAAAAGACATTCTAATGCAGCTATAACCACTTTCTCTGTTGGTGCATCTAATAATGTTACCAGTATTGACAAACACATTTCATTAGCCTCAGAGCTAATCTGGGACAGTGCTCCCAAACATGTCACTGCACTCTGAAAACTTTGATAATCACTGCAATATGGCTTTACCTCTTCTATAAGACAGCAAACATTGTTTTCTGTGCTTACAAAAGGAAGCACCATTAACTTCTTAGTCTTCAAGTACCCTGGATCTTTTGCTCGGACTAAGAAGAATTTATAGTGTGGGCCAAAGATTTTTTGTGTATCTCCTAGAGTGCTCATGAAATCCAATATCAAATATGAATTCTCAGGAACATTTCTACTAAGTATCTTGCACACAGATGGCTGAATCACTTCAAGCATGTCCTTCTTTAGGTGAGGATGATCTTTAGTCCAGTGAAGGAACAGTTTTACAGTAGCTACAAGAACTGCTGCAGACTTAGATAAGAAGAGTTCATCCAAGGTATTTAAAAGAAGAATTAGCTCTTCTTCAGTTTTAGGTGTGTATCTGAAAAAATAAAGAATTATGAGTAAATTTTATATACTGGTAAGAACATTTTGCCTGAGGCCTATGTATTAATTTGTCAATACACTAAAACATACTTGGGAACCAACTCTCAATAGTAACTACAGTACTGTACAGATAATTTCTTGTTTTTACTCTAAGATCATCTTAAATTCCCTTTTCTGTATTACTTGCACACTGTTGACAAACTTCCACAAAATATCTTATAACATCATTACATACACTACACTCTTCTATAGATTTATTAATGAAAACAATTAATACTTCAAAACAATTCTTTTATACAAATATTTTGTGCTATTCACTATTATTTTAACCAAGGCTTTTTTTTAATAACACTTTATTACAGTATAGTACAGAACATTATTAAAAATATTTTATACAGTGAGGATTAGCACATGATTAGATGTACTGTATATATTCAGCTATAAGAATTGTCTTTAAAAAGTTACTTAACCCTTTCAGGGTCCAGCAGCCAAACTTCAAAGTGTGCACCAGGGTCCAAGAATTTTCAAAAAATAATTTTGCTATTTTTTCTTATGAAATGGTAGAGAATCTTTTTCTGAAGGTAATAAAACAAAAACTACGAAATTTGATGGAAAATTTATGAAATTATGCTCTCGCGAATTTTGATGTGTCGGTGATATTTACACATCGGCAATTTTGCCGACTTTGGCTCCCATTTTAGGCCAATTACAGTATTCCAGTCAACCAAATTCTTAGCTATTTCACTAGTATTACTTCTATTCTATTGATTGAGCACAAGAAATCGCCAAGTCAACTGTTCCAATAACAAAATAAAGTGACCGGAAATTGGTAATTTGGCCAATTTAACGCAAAGTTCAAAATATTCCAGTTTCAAAATAGGGCCTAGAATAAACAATGCAGGCATTCGTGGCACTAAACTAACATTTTCTCTGTTCATTAGTTACTTTTTCAGGCTTTACAAATGAATTCCATTTTTATTTTTTATTCACATAATAAATTTTTATTCAAACCAAAAAATAGAAGATTTACTGTGATGCAATACTGTAATAATTGAATAAATAATATCACCACATTTGTGAATGTATATAAGACCCACCAGCTATCATGTATTAGACTTGTGAGGTCATTTGTTTACTCTTGAACATTGGCAAAAATTTAACATTTCTGCTACTTTGAGCTCAGTTTCAAGCCATTTCCAGTACTAAAACCAATCAAAATCATCTCTACTCCTGTAGTATATCTTCCATTCTATCAAATGAGACCAAGAAATTTCAAATACAGCTATAAAAAACATACGAAAAAACACTGCAAAGTCACCGTTTTAACGAAAATTACGATCTGTTTTTTCTCTCGTTATGCACTGTGTGCTGCAGGATTTGTTTTATGTGGTGCACACATACCACATAGATGTATTCTCTCATATCTAGGCCCAAATTTACTGCTCACAGCTTATCAGAGTGAGCTGAGCTCATGGCGTAGATCTACGGTTTGGACCCTGAATGTAAAGCCGTAGATCTACGGCACGGACCCTGAAAGGGTTAATTATGTGTAGTACCAAGCTGTATTTTTTTAAAAACAACAGCCATCTCTCACCAAGGCAGGGGAGATCTAAAAAGAAAACGTATCTGCCTTTATACCAACTGATACAGCATTAATATTCTACTCTACATGATATACCTAAATAACAAAAGCCATAAAAAGCCTCTCCTCACTCAGCAACATACTCGTTTACTGATGCCTTGGACTTACGATGGGCTGTCTGACCAGTATTTATACCTAAATAATGTATATTACAGCTGATTTCCTCTATTTTGTTTATTTCAATATACAGTACACTATTGTATAAACATTTAAAAATATACCATAAATGTTATAAATGCTACAAAGGTGACATTAAAACAATATCAAAGATGGTCGACACAAACCCATTACCATTATTGTATGTTCCTCACTTAGCAACGAATTTGTATAACAACATGATCTTAGGAATGGAACTCCATCGTAAAGTGAGGAGAGGCTGTACTATAATCTGTAATTCTTGTTTATTACATGCAAAAAATATTTTCCTAGTTCAATTTAACCTAAATTAAAAATTAAAAATTTAAAACTAGGGTATGTCATTACAACGAGACCAACCTGAGAAGGAGCGATAATACATATACACCATTACACACAGAGAACTGCATTATTCTCCCCATTAGGTAATGTGCAATGTTCTTATTGACTACCACTCCACCCTCTTCTTTCAGGATGTAGTCAAGGGCAAGAATGCAATTAGTAATAACAATGGGATCCGAGTCTCGCAACCCTTCATAAAGGGCATCCACCAAACCACATTCAAGAACAGACCGAGGAGCATGGGAATACAGCCGTGCACATGCCACTGCACCTGCTCGACGCACCTGTAAAATAATGGAAACCTCAATTAACAATGACTACCTATAAATATGTACAGCATTACTACAAAGCCTGTCCCAATTTTAGAAGAATGCTAAATACATACAGTAGTCTCCCTGTATCTGTGGGGAATACGTTCCAAGACCTACCATGGATAACCAAAACCACAGATAGTAGCAAACCCTACATCATTTTTCGGTGACATGCATACCTATGATAAAGTTTAATTGATAAATTGCACACAGTAACTTGAGAATTGGCACTTTTTCACTAATGGGAAGCACTTTATGGCTTCTTTTAGGATTGAAGAACTGCCACCATCACTTTTTTGCACTTTGGGGCCATTACTAAGTAAATTTAAGTGTTATTTTCGGGCCAAGGTAAACCATGGATAACTAAAACTGTGGAAACCGCATCTGCAGATACAGGGGTTCTACTGTACTATTCTTTCTTGTTCGTCAACAATCTTTTGAAATACTAAGACCAATATATATTGACACTTTGACATTAAAACCTCAATTTAACAGACCATGATTTAATGGATTATATTTTTAACAGGCAATATGTGGCAGGACAACATCCATAAACAATGTACAAAGTCTGCTATATCCACAATTATTAATTATTATTACAGTCTGCTAGCTTAAGTGATATCAGATTTAATGGGCACAGTCCATTATTTCTAGAACTGTCCATTATTATTATAATCTGCTGGGTAAATTTATTTTGGATTCAACAAAACCCATTATATCCGAAGTTATCCATTAAATCCGGAACTGCTGTTGTTACGACCATGGAAAAACAATCTCACCATACGGATTTAGCAGACAATCTGCATTAATGGACACCCCCTTCCCCATTAGTCTGTTAAGTTGAGATTTCACTGTGTGTTGAAGTTAATTACCAGTGGAAAGTTTATTTCTTCAGATAATTTGGTACATATTTTTGGACTGTTTATTTACATGGAGCTTGTACTGAAGGTTAGTTGCACATATTTACCATCTGAGGTGTTTATTTCTTGTGTTGTACCTGAACACTAAAATGGCATGGATCATATAGCATTGTACAATTACCATTGCTGCTTGGTCAGAGAGAGCTGAGGCAATAGCACGGACAGAACTCTCCTCTATTCCTGGCAAAGCTGCCAGGGTAGTAATACTGACACTGCGCACACTTGGGTTGGCATCGCTGGCATCTCTCAACAGCAGGTTGGCAGTCAGAAGAGCTAGGTCAGCATTAGTACTACATCTGCAAGTAGGGATTTATCTTGTCAAGAAGTGAAAATGGAGAAATGACTGCAGTACTGTTTTACTGACTGACTCTACCAATGACTGAAAAGATTCTGCAAGAATCATTTACCTTTGTACAGCTCAGGTGAGCAAAACAGAGGTACAAATAGTTAATGCACTTATTGTTATTCACAGTAATGTACAGTTATAATCAATTATCAATTAATTGACACAGGACAATGCTACAGATCTTCTTTCTTTCAACACACCGGCTGTATCCCACCGAGGCGGGGTGGCCCAAAAGGAAAAACGAAAGTTTCTCCTTTTACATTTAGTAATATATACAGGAGAAGGGGTTACTAGCCCCTTGCTCCCGGCATTTTAGTCGCCTCTTACAACACGCATGGCTTACGGAGGAAGAATTCTGTTCCACAATACTACAGATAATATTTTATTTTTTATTTTTTCTTTTATTTCTCAACCCATGTAACAAAGGTTATGTTTGTTCGTAAAATGAAAAACAAGAATCAACCTTTTAGTATAAAAGCCCATTCTAAGCCACTGTCAAACCGAACACATTTAAGGCTCTGTGCAGAATCAGAAAAGGACTAGAGTTATGTGAACGTAATAATTACTTAAGCATGATAGAATCAGCTTTTTGGTCAGGTTCAATACGCCCTTCTGCAAAGCCACTGGTGATCACCCGAACACATCTGGTGGCCTCTGTGCAGAACAGAAAGGCACTAGAGTTATGTGCCCACCACTAAGATACTTACTTATCAGCAATGTGATAGCAAGTCAGCTTTTTGGTCAGGGTGTCATGTGAGGCCAGTAGTTGTACAATATCACTGGTTGGTAAATCAGTACCTCCCACCATCTGAAATGATACTAACTAATATTAAGTCATGTTAATATGAAATCTGAGTTTCATACACTAAGCAACATAATGAAATAGGCATTATGTAATATGATAAATATGAATAAAAATTACTTACATGTATTGAAATAACTTATTATGATATTAAAATGCCATTAAAAAACCTACTAAATATTAAAACTCTACATACATATTACTCTTCACCTCACAACTTCAAGGTCCTACACTATAATGATGATACTGATCATGCAAATAACAGGCACAACAATGTGAAATACAGTCCTCTAACATGCCAGATGAATTAAAAAATTAATTATTTAATAAATTCAATAAATTGATTTTTTTTACATGTGTTACGTATTTGCCTAAAATAAATTTTATTGTAATTCATTAAATTGTTATTTATCTTTTACTTCCAAGTTATAAATTACACCATGCTCTTTATTTTTTTTAATTAATCTTATTACATTACCATTACTTCCTTATGTGCATTTTAACCTTCTTGAAATTAAATTTCAGTTGAATATTAAATTTTAATTTAACATCTTTCACTAAATATCAATTTTTTCATTAGGATTTATGTTACAATATTATGTAATTTTAGATAGTAATGTTACATATATTATATAATAGTACCTGTAGATACATTTACCTAATATAGAGAAAAATTGGATATCAAATTGGAGAGGAGGAGTATGGAAGAAGTGAATGTTTTCACATATGTATTTGGGAGTTGCCATGTCAGCGGATGGATGTATGAAGGATGAGGTTAACCACAGAATTGATGAAGGAAAAAAGGCAAAGAAGGGTATGTATGAAAGTATAGTGGTAACAACACTCTTATATGGGTGTGAAGTTTGGGTTGTAAATGCTGCAGCGAGGAGGCGGTGGAGATGTCCTGTCTAAGGGCAATGTGTGGTGTAGATATTATGCAGAGAATTCGGAGTGTGGAAATTAGGAGAAGGTGTGGAGTTAATAAAAGTATTAGTCAGAGGGCTGAAGAGGGGTTGTTGAGGTGGTTTAGTCATTTAGAGAGAATGGATCAAAGTAGAATGACATGGAAAGCGTATAAATCTGTAGGAGAAGGAAGGCGGGGTAGGGGTCGTCCTCGAAAAGGTTGGAGGGAGGGGGGTAAGGAGGTTTTGTGGGCGAGGGGCTTGGACTTCCAGCAAGCATGCATGAGCATGTTAGATAGGAGTGAATGGAGAGGAATGGTATTTGGGACCTGACGAGCTGTTGGAGTGTATCAGGGTAATATTTAGTGAAGGGATTCAGGGAAACCAGTTATATTTTTATATAGCTGGACTTGAGTACACTGTACTGGAAATGGGAAGTACAGTGCCTGCACTTTAAAGGAGGGGTTTGGGATATTGGCAGTTTGGAAGGGTATGTTGTGTATCTTTATACGTACAGTGGACCCCCGCATAATGATCACCTCCGAATGCGACCAATTATGTAAGTGTATTTATGTAAGTGCGTTTGTACGTGTATGTTTGGGGGTCTGAAATGGACTAATCTACTTCACAATATTCCTTATGGGAACAAATTCGGTCAGTACTGGCACCTGAACATACTTCTGGAGTGAAAAAATATCGTTAACCGGGGGTCCACTGTATATGCTTCTAAACTGTTGTGTTCTGGGCACCTCTGCAAAAACAGTGATTATGTTTGAGTGAGGTGAAAGTGTTGAATGATGATGAAAGTATTTTCTTTTTGGGGATTTTCTTTCTTTTTGGGTCACCCTGCCTTGGTGGGAGATGGCCAACTTGTTAAAAACAAAAAAATATATATATTTTTTATTTTACTATTATTAAGGCACCATAAGCATGTACAATGTAACAACACTTCAGTCTGTGACAGACTACTGTCAAAATGTTCTTGCCCGAAACTTCATCATGAGGTTCCTCTCCTAATTGTGTATTTTGGGGGGATGTGTTCCAGCCACAGTATTGTGACTTTTTTATTTATGTTAATAGTATTAAGCTTAGTTTAAGTCTGCCTCTACATGCTATGTATAACTGGGTTTTTCAAAGAGAATACGAGTTCACTATACTACGGCTGGAACATTTATCCAAAAACTTGCACTAAGGAGAGAAACCTTATGATGATGTTTCATTCCCTCCTGGACCGTCCAAGTCAAGTTACAAATGACTTAACAATGGTCCAGGCCAGGCAGAAACAGCATCATCCATTCTGGACTGGTCAAGTCACAAGTGACTTAACCATGGTCCAGGCCAGACAGAAACAGCATTATGAGGTCCCTCTCATAAGTGCGGGTTTTTGGCGAATGTGGGTTTTTCCTTCTAGGAAATATATGATGTTAACCTACTATTGCAAATCTAATGTGTCTTCTTGGGGAAAAAAATTATCATATACCTTTGCCAATAATATTTTCTTCTCTGGGCTGACTGGCCCCATCTTGTCGAAAATTTACTGTAACTTGCCTTTCCAAAAAACATTCTATATTGGATAATGCATTACATGCAAAGATACACCACTCTGAGTCACATCTCACCACCCTGAGCCACATCTAACCACCCTGAGCCACATCTCACCACCACCCTGAGCCACATCTAACCACCCTGAGCCACACCTCTCCACCCTGAGCCACATCTCACCACCACCCTGAGCCACATCTAACCACCCTCTGGTGGCCTGGTGGTTAACGCTCTCGCTTCACACGGCGAGGGCCTGGGTTCGATTCCCAGCCAGAGTAGAAACGTTGGACGTGTTTCTTTCAACCTGTTGTCTATGTTCCCCATCAGTAAAATGGGTACCTGGGTGTTAGTCGACTGGTGTGGGTCGCATCCTGGGACACTGACCTAAGGAGGCCTGGTCACAGACCGGGCCGCGGGGGCGTTGACCCCCGGAACACTCTCCAGGTAAACCTCCAGGTAAACCCTGAGCCACATCTCACCACCACCCTGAGCCACATCTCACCACCCTGAGCCACACCTCACCACCCTGAGCCACACCTCACCACCCTGAGCCACACCTCACCACCCTGAGCCACACCTCACCACCCTGAGCCACACCTCACCACCCTGAGCCACATCTCACCACCATCCTGAGCCACACCTCACCATCATCCTGAGCCATATCTCACCACCATCCTGAGCCACACCTCACCACCATCCTGAACCATGCCTCACCATCCTGAGCCACACCTCACCATCATCCTGAGTCACACCTCACCACAACCCAGAGATATGCCTCACCGCTTCCCAGAGCCACACCTGCACCACTACCCAAACCCACACCTCACCACTACCCAGAGCCACTCCTCACCACTACCCAGATCCACACCTCACCACTGCCCAGACCAGCATTTTACCACTACCCAGAGCCACTCCTCACCACTACCCAGAGCCACTCCACACCACTACCCAGAGCCACTCCTCACTGCTACCCAGAAACACACCTCACCACTGCCCAGACCAACACCTCACCACCACTATCCAGAGCCACCTCACCACTGCCCAGACCAACACTTCAGCACTACCCAGAGCCACACCTCACCACTACCCAGACCAACACTTACCACTACCTAGAGCCACACCTCACTGCTACCCAGAGCCACACCTCACCACTACCTAGAGCACACCTCCCACTATGCTGACCACACTCACCACCAGAGCCACACCTGCCACCACCTGACCACACTGCACCACCCGAGCACACCTCACCACCAACTATCCAGAGCCACCTCACCACTCCCTGAGCCATACCTCAGCACACCCTGAGCCATACCTCACCACTACCCAGAGCCACACCTCTACCACTACCTAGACCACACCTCACTCACCCAGAGCCACCCCTCACACAACCCAGAGAACACCTCACCACTACCTGAGCCACACCTCACCACCCTGAGCCACACCTCACCACCCTGAGCCATACCTCACCACCCTGAGCCACACCTCACCACCATCTAGCCTACCTCACCACCCTGAGCCACACCTCACCACCACTGAGCCATACCTCACCACCACCTGAGCCAACCTCACCACCCTGAGACCAACATTTCACTACCATGAGCCACTCTGCACAGCAACCCAGAAACACACCTCACCACCCTGAGCCACACCTCACCACCACTCTGAGCCACACCTCACCACCCTGAGCCATACCTCACCACCACTGAGCCACACCTCACCACCCTGAGCCATACCTCACCACCACCCTGAGCCACACCTCACCACCACTGAGCCACACCTCACCACCCTGAGCCATACCTCACCACCCTGAGCCATACCTCACCACCACTGAGGCACACCTCACCACCATCCAGAGCCACACCTCACCACCCTGAGCCACACCTCACCACCCTGAGCCATACCTCACCACCACCGAGCCACACCTCACCACCCTGGTTTATACTGTAAACGTATATCTTATTCAGTTTAAGATATACATATATTGAAAAAGTTAATTAAGTTATTCTTTTCGTAGAATAATGAAGATAAATTACCACTATTATCAACAAAATAGAGCTTCCCAGATTTCCTAAAAAAAAAAAAAACGAAAACAATATTCGTCATCTCTACGTCATCTAAGACAGTGTCCGAAACTTGTAGTGCTGACTTTAAATTAATGTTGTTAAACAAGCAAGTAAGCAAGCAAGCAAAGAAGCAAGTTAGCAAGCAACCTAAGTATAAGTAAATAAGTAAATTTGTTAAGGTATAATTGCACATAAGTACGTTTACATAAGTTTTAGGTGATGGCATTTGTCTTGCGTAGTAACATAAATTACCTAGTATAACCCAAGAAAGTCAAAACAATTTGTTTTCATTAGGGTTCTTGTAATGTCTTATTATTAGCAGCCTAGTTAATATTATATTCAGTAAAAATCAGTCAGGATTATAACCGTAAAAAATATAACTGAGTGACTCAACCTGAGTGAAAATCAATTACAATAATAATAAGTACAACAGGAATAAAGTAAACTGAATAATTTACATGCACATTAAATATTAAGATCAGCTCAATGACATAAGTACAAAAATGTTAACTATATAGGAAATTATTTTCTTCCTTTCTGTAACTTCATTCATTAGGAACATCTTGTATGTCTTCCTGCACTGTTTCATGCTAAGTCTGGTCTTGACATGTTCAGTCCTCTCAAAGAAGGTTTCTTGACGCTGGTGAGGGGCTCTTGATCTAGGGAATTGGATCTGTGATGCAGTTCCCTGAATTAAGTCTGAATACCTTCCATCCCCCCCCCCCCAACAGACGCTATATATTCCTACGGGTTTAGCACTTCCCCCTTGATTATAATAATAATTGGCATGTTCAGGCAATCCCTTACACTTCTTTATTACTGTACAATTGAAAAGTAAGTTAGTTTATTTAGACACAGGTACACATAAGTACAATTATCATAGTGTTAATTACCTAGGATAACCCCCCCCCCAAAAAAAAAGTCAAAGTGACCTATTTCCATTGGTGTTTGAGGCTTTTCCACCTATTATAAGTACTACCATTGTGTTCACTTCCCCAGGTACTATACTGGTTTTGGTTGCTAACTTGGACCAACTTCTCAGCAAGATATTCTGGACACTGCTTGTGAGCGATTTTATAAACATGATTTAACTTCAACTATTTTACTGTCTTCATCATGTTCTCTTGGATCCAGGTCATCTTTATATATTTTATTTTATTTTAGCTTAAATAGGTAAGGTTGAAACAGGTTGTCTGAGGCTGTTGAGGATGGAGACAGAAGACAGGGTAATCAGTCCCTCATACTCAATGCAGATGTTCACTATCATTGTCTTGATGAATCTGATACACATAACATACATTGTATATAAATGACCTAGAATGGCCCAAAAAAGGGTCAGTTACATATTTCTATTGGAAATGTGACCACTGGATTGATTTCATTTACTATTCATGTTAGTTGATATTAATACTTTCAGTAAAGTTTTATTAATACGAACTATTAACTATGTATTGATTTTATGACATGCTATGCTAAATCGATATATATTTTATTGTGGGAGTGAGCATGGAGCCGAGGCTGGAGTCAGGATGAGGGAGTGGGACGCGGGAGAGGACGTAAACATTGTACACGTCGCACCGTCTCTACTCTTTATCACAACGTTGTTTCCTCGTCCCTCCTCTTCCTTCCTCGTCCCTCCTCGCGAAGACTAGCTGGGACACTTTATGAGCTTGTCGTCACCCGAGAAAAGCGCTCATACAGCTTAATCTGTGTTCAACCTGTTTTATCTCCCCCGTCGCCCCTGGTCTGGTGTCATCACCTCGGTAACACTTCCAAGACTAGCGGTAAGAAATGAGTTGCAGGTGCTCATTACCCCTGAATTGAAAGCTAAGGAACAGTAAGAAACAATTACACCTTTTTATCAGAAAAGGCGTGTCTATAGCCATTGATCAATATATATATATGTATATATAAATGGATCTGAGGAAGGGGATTTGTGGGTTGGCCTTGATGGTGAGGAAGTCTCTCATCCCTCAGAAATTATAGTAATTTTTTCTTCATTGCCTTCCCGGAATGTTTGTCCTTATTTTCTACCCATATTAATTTGTTATTGTTTATATTGATGAAAGTAGAAAGTATATTATTTTATAACTGATATATTCATGTATATAACTGATGTACTATATTCATTTTTTAATAATAAAAGTAGAAGAACTGTAGCTATGTAACTAATATATTCATATAATTAAAAGTAACTTATGTATATTAATTTTATATTTATTAAATTTTATATTGCATTGTCACTTCATCTGACTTTTTTGGGTTATTCTAGGTAATTTACACATGTTAAACTATGTACGATAATTATACTTGTGTACCTATACCAAAATAAACTTGCTGTATACTGTACCTATACCAAAATAAACTTGCTATATATTTATGTAACTGATATTTCTGGTGTTCATGGCAGTTTATTCACCAGGAAACATCAATGACTAAACATTCATTGGGCTACCAAAACTAGGTTTTACAATCTATTTAATAAATAAAGGGTATTGCTATCCTGCATTAATTAATGTAATTATTAATATTTCAAATAGCATATCAATGACATGTATGAATGTCTCTTAATTAATAATATTTATGATAGCATATAAGACATGTATGAATACCTAACTATATAATTAAGCAAAAAATTATTGTGAAACCATCCATCAAGTTTTCACAAATTTGAAGCTTATGGTAAGCTTCTTTTCCCCAACACACTCAGCAGAACACCTGAGAAAGATACCTTGTCCTTCAGATTTTATGGGAAGCCCACCAACAAAGACAGCCTCAAACACTTTAATGCACCATGACTCCCTAACCAAACTTAGGGTAGTTATAGGTTTCATCCTGAAGGCTCAAAATATTTCCATCCCTGAATTTTTGGAGGAAGAGTTTGCATACATTTTACAGACATCCACTCGTCTGCACTTTCCTTCATATTTTATCCAGGATTGCTATTGCAGAGCTCAGACCATTCTACAGGAAACCACTGGCCACCAGATGTAATCAGAGAGTTTTGCTATTATTCTGTAGTGACATACCTACACACAAACCATAAGAGGCTCTTTGCCAGGAGCAGTATTCAAATCACTATTTCCACTGCTTCGGTTGGGGACCTCACTAAGGAAAAGTCCCCATTCAGTGCTCCCACTAAAGAAGGTGGAATCTGCTCCATCCCACATAGGTTCTATAACAGTCTATGTGGGGTTGATCAGGAGAGACTTGTCATCCTTGCCTACATTAGGGAGGACATCATTAATGTGTATTATACACAGAAACACTGAAAAACATCTTGTGTTGGAATGATGCTAAACTGGTCTACAGGGAATCAGATTTTGAGGAAACTGGTGTCTTATTATACACTGTAAGAACTTAACTGCAAGATGACTGCTAATGTTGCATAAACTTACATGCTGAATCCTGGAAAATCATTGTTTTATTAATGAAATGCAATACAGCAGTAGCACTTGCCTTCAGGTTAACTGTATATTTGTATGCATGAAACAAATGAACTGTTCACACTGACACCTTCAGTGCAAACAGTTCATTGACTTGCTTTCAGTGTGAGTTTGTTTTATTGACCAATGTTTACTACACTTTTCTGTTTGTTACATAAATACATGAGGTGTTACTACAGTAGTGTACAGCAGCTATTTCCACTTCATTAACTGTTACATACTTATTAAATTTATGTAATATGTTGTTATAGGTACCCAAAAGCTGCACCAATGGGAGTGTGCAGCAGTGTGAGAGAATGTGTCGGTAGCAAACCACCATTAGCAGTATTTGCTGCAAGCATTGCAGCATTTGCAGTTGCCCTTGTTGGAGTTTCCCTATACTTACAGGGCCATAAGTCAGAAATTCTAAATCCAGATATAAAGGTAAGATTTTATATTGCTATTACTTGCCACTGTTTTGAAATGTACCATAAACATTAAATAAAATTTTCATATTACACAGCTATTTTTTAATTTTTTGTTGAACTTGAAATTATTGTCATTATTGTTATTATTATTATTACTATTATTATTATTATTATTACTGTATTCATTATATGTCATGTTATGCCTTATGAACTACATACTGCTTCTTTGATTAGTTCTATGTATGTACCATGTTATTAAATTGTCATGAATAGTTAGTTTATCTCAAAACTTTCCATAACAATTAGCTAAGAATACAAAATAGTTAGACATATAGACTGGAGGATTAGATTCTTTAAATCTGACGGTGAAAAGGTTCTAAGAGTGAGCATTACACTGGAGAGATATATCATCTGAATAACCAGAGCTTAATGTAGTATCAGCATTCAGGTACCTCAGTGAGTCCCTCAGAAGGATATTTATTGTGTAAATCAAACTTAACTTACTCAGCACTAACATGGAGCCCTAATCTCAACAAATATGCTTAGGAACTAGATAGAATCAAGAGATTTGCAATAAAACTAGTCCCAGAACTTGTAGGAATGACTTACAAAGATAGACTAAAGGGACTGAACCTTACAACACAGGAAGAGAGGAGAACCAGAAAAGCTATTATGATATATGGTACTAGATACTCAGATGACTATAAGGCAGACAGAGACAGACTGTTTGAATGGAGAAGACCTACAATTAATGGTTATAGCTGGAAGGTAAAGATGCAAATGAGTCATAGGGATTCTGGAAGATACTTCTTCTGTCTAAGGGTAGTTAGGATGTTGAATGGTCTAGATGAGAGTGGTCGGAGCAGATTCCATAAACTGTTTTAAAAGTAAGTATGGGTGGGAACCATAAGGCCAGAAATAGTGAAAGGCTGTTAATTGGGAAATGAGGGACAGGACCAGGAGTCTTGATTAAAGAAGTACTATATACCCATGTGAGGTCATAATAGTAATGTGAAATAAAAGCAGTGTGGAAAGGACTTGTATTACAACCCAGGAATCCAAATGGCCTGTTATCCTGGGTGTAATGGGAGCAAAATAAACACAGCAGAAAAAGTTTAGACTTACATTATCCTTCACCAATTTAGAACAGCAATATGTACACTATGTACAGTGATAAGTATAGTGCACTCCACGGTAAGCAAGGCAGAAATAGAAGCCACAAGATAGCAGACCGTGCTTCAACCAGCTCTAGAATGGGAATGACAAGGGCAGACAGGAGAGTGGTACCCACATAACCTCTGCGATTGCCAAAACCATCTTCTTATTGGCTAGAACCTGGTCACTAGTTGAACGACGGGGCCCCATCATCAACTCTTAGCAACCTGGTTCGCTGGTTGGGGAGATAGCCTGTAAATGAGGGTGTGTACATGCGCCGAATAAAAGTTATGTACTCTTTGCCTGCCACAACTTGTTAAATACTGGAATGGGATGACAAAGTAAGTACTAAAAAATGAAGCACCTCAAACATAGCTCTATCCTGTAACTACAAATATGTTATCATATATAGGTAAACACAGTTTCTCATTGATTTTCTTTAATTAGAATTTATCTTCTGCTTATTGAAAAAAAAAATATTTTAGAAATAATTTATCAGTGTAGTGCCTTCTTTTACTTTACACTGATTACTTTTTTTTTTTTGATCAAGAATGTTAACATTATAGATTTGCAGGAAATTATATTGAATAGGTTAATTGCAAATTTTCTTATAATTAATTATTTAGAATATATTTACACAAACTGAGCATATTCAACAGGACTGGAATAGCTTTTACTCAACTCTGTCTGATATGAAGATATGCTTTCCTGAAAGTGGGGCATCTACAGTGAAAAAGATCAGACCAAGCCGTGAGTTGCCACCCTCAGTAACACTGGACCCAGAGGCAAGTGTTAATGAAACTACAGGAAATATTACACTGAGTATATTAGCAGATGTACAAGTGGAGAAAGATGGAAGCACTGTTATGGGATTGACTCTGCATTCCTTTCTGTCACCTAGATATCTTGGTTTTAAGGGTAAGTTTTCTCCTGAAAAGGATATGTGGGGTTTAATGGAGATAAGCATATACTGTGTAGGTAGTAGGTTGGTAGACAGCAACCACCCAGGGAGGTACTACCGTCCTGCCAAGTGAGTGTAAAACGAAAGCCTGTAATTGTTTTACATGATGGTAGGATTGCTGGTGTCTTGTCTGTTTCATAAACATGCAAGATTTCAGGTACGTCTTGCTACTACTTCTTACACTTAGGTCACACTATACATACATTTACAGGCATATATATACACACCCCTCTGGGTTTTTTTCTATTTTCTTTCTAGTTCTTGTTCTTGTTTATTTCCTCTTATCTCCATGGTGAAGTGGAACAGAATTCTTCCTCCGTAAGCTATGCGTGTTGTAAGAGGCGACTAAAATGCCGGGAGCAAGGGGCTAGTAACCCCTTCTCCTGTATAAATTACTAAATTTAAAAAGAGAAACTTTCGTTTTTCTTTTTGGCCACCCTGCCTTGGTGGGATACGGCCAGTTTGTTAAAAAACAAAACAAAAAGGCATATACTGCACTTTCCTGTTGTTGAGAGAGAAAGTTTTGCAGAAAGTGGTTCACATTCTGTTAGTCACATTTAATAATAATAATAATTTAATGAACCCTTAAGAACCTAACACCTTCAAACAACACAGCCTAAAATTTGTTTAGTTATTATGTGGAGGAAAATAGTAAGGAGTACCTCCCTTCTTACAGTGCAGTTGCTTTCTATAACAGCCTCTTTTTTTATGGAAGGAAAGAAAATTTACAGATTTTACAAGTAATACAAGAAAGGATAGTCTGAAATTATGTAACATGCTTCATGTCATATCGCCGTAAGTACTAAATTAGTAGCGGCATGCATATATCTTTTTCACATCAGATTTGCTCAGTTATAATGCGTTTATAGTTACAAGATAAATAACTGCCAACAGCTTGATGGATGCATTATGGAAGAGGTTCAATCTTTGGACCTTGATCACTTCAAGGTTCGAAACCTCTTTAATAATGATCTCAAAACTGTGTGCATTTACTTTTTATATCAAACCTTTTATTGCAGGAGACCTAAGTGTACTAGAGGTAACAATTGAGTTAGCAGCTAAATCTGCAAAAAACTGGACAGCTTGCATGATGTTCTCAGGGCCCACACACCTATTGCCTGACTCTCCAGTGACACCTTCTAACTGCACTATAACTAAGGTATTGTATTCTGTAGACTTCAAAGATCAAAGCCCTGCCTCACACCTACCATCATCCTTTCCTCAGCCTTACATACTAGAACTTTCTCTTCACTCCATGATTTTACTGAACTTGTTTAGGAACTCTTTTTCTCACTATTTCTTCCACACAAAACTGCATGAAGTTTCAGTATGAAATTATTCATTGGACACTCTTTGGAAAAACCATTGGATAGTTGAAATTTATAGTGACATGGATTCGTAAGGATAACCGTATAATAGTTGCTCAGAATACTGTTTGGGATAGTTTATTCTTCTTAGAAAATATTTTTCCATAATATTTTTAAAAAATTTTTTTCCAGAACACCACACTGGTGGAAGTGATGATGGCTCAGCCATGGCTGGTAAATGAATCAGAAGAGTGGTGCAGAGTGGGTGTGGAAGGCAACCTGATGGTGACAGCTCAACATGAGCTCAATGTTTACTTATCAGAGGTAGAAAATATGCAAATGTTCTGGTTGTTATTTTCTTACATAAATATTAGATTCCTTATAGTTAAATACTACAGGATTAATAAAAAATTTTCAATTTGCTAAAGAAAAAAGTACATCTTAGATACTGGAAATTACAATAACTTTTGGAGGAGAAAAGTGCAGTGTCTACACTTTGAAGATCAGTTGGAGATTTTTAACATTTGTTAAGCTATTATTGGACTATAACGTTCATGTTCTTGAAAGCCAGTTAGGGTGCAAGTACAGTAAAATTGCTTTCCTTGGGAAGGATAGAGTAGATGTATCAAAAGTAAAGCAGGATGCATGTTTCAGAGTACCTTTCTGTGTTTCAGGGTGATGTCACACTAATCCAAGTACATATTCTCTACACAACATGCCTCCTGTGTGTCATGATGTTTGTTCTTCTATTTTATTTTATTTGTGGAAAACATTTCAACTCTCGGAGCAAAACAGAAAAGTCGGCTGATAAAGTAAGTAATGTGACAAGTGTTCTAGGAGGTTGCATTTAAGTTCAACAGAAGTATTATTGTAGGATTTTTTTTATTTTAAGAGCATGTTTGACCTTGATGTGATTCCTTATAATATAATTTAATTTCAGAATTTGGGAAGTACAGTGCCTGCACTCTGAAGGAGGGGTGTTAATGTTGCAGTTTAAAAACTGTAGTGTAAAGCACCCTTCTGGCAAGACAGTGATGGAGTGAATGATGGTGAAAGTTTTTCTTTTTCGGGCCACCCTGCCTTGGTGGGAATCGGCCAGTGTGATAATAAATAATAAAATAATTTCAGACAAAATGTGATTAGAAATTCAGACCAAATTCTCTAAATAGTGCTTGTTTTCTGTTGATGTATTGTCACATCTTCATATGTCCATAACCCTGTAGTTATGAAATTAAAAAAAATTATCGAAAGTAGCAGTGCAGATGGTTTGTACCGAAATTACAGTAAACCCTAATTTAGTGGAATATATGGAAGGGATTGCTGGTGTCTTTTTTCTGTTTCATAAACATGCAAGATTTCAGGTACATCTTGCTACTTCTACTTACACTTAGGTCATACTACACATACTACAAGCATAAACTACCCTCTGGTTTCTTCTATTTCTTACTATTCATTGTAAGATTATTTCCCTTATCCCATTGGGAAGTTACAGATTCTTCCTTCCTAAGCCATTGTGTCATAAGATTCACTAAAATGCCGGAGCAAGGGCAGTAACCCCTTCTCCTGTATAAATTACTAAATTTAAAAAAAGAAACTTTCGTTTTTCTTTTTGGGCCACCCTGCCTCGGTGGGATACAGCCGGCTTGTTGAAAAAAAAAAATATGTAAGGGAGAGAGGGTGGCCAGTAATGAGTTGTGGTGGATAGTGATGAGAGTGATTTGCAGTGATAACAACAAACATGGACAGTTCTGTAACCAACGAATGTTGTCCATTGTTTCCAGTGGACAACATTGAATGTATAACTCGTGAGGTGCTCCACATTTCTTGCCTATTTTGCTTCAGTATTGTGATTTTTATAGCATTTAACATATTTAGAAATGTATTCAGTAACCATTCAGCTATTTAATTTATTTTTGACACCTGGCATCTCCCACCAAGGTAGTGACTCTAAAGAAGAAACACTTTCACCATCATTCACTATCACTGTCTTGCCAGAAGTGTACTGATACTACAGTTCAGATGCCCCTCCATTGAATGGTCTCTGTGTTCCAATGTTATTAAAATCTTGTCAGTCCAATTCTTTTAAGTCATGCGGTGTTCAGCATTTTTATAGAGATATGTTTGGTTAGATAAGGACACTATTCATAGCAATGGGATGGTGAGACACAAGTGAGTTTCCTTATACCTGCTGGCCTCTGTTCAACTTGCAGTAAATAAGTTCCTAAGAGCCAGTCGCATGTTGTGGATTGTATCCTGGGAAAAATGACTGATGGACCTCAGTGGACAAGTCACAATTTTTTTTAATATGCTGGCCGTCTTCCAGTGAGGCAGGGTGACCTGAAAAAGAAACACTCGCCATCATTCACACTATCACTGTCTTTCCAGTGATAGTGTGATTGAAGGAAAAAGGAATTCATGAATATAAATGGTAGGTTATTATAGCTGTGAACTAAAAGTTGTAAATAGTTTTTTTATACTGTAAACTCTACATATTTTATTTTTATACTATGAGAAATCAATTAAAAATAGATATTTTTCCTTACAGGTACCCTTGCATCCATAATTGCTGTCATATTTCTTAAAGGATTAATGTGGTAGGTTTGATGTTGCAACATACAAGTTTCATTGAAATGGGGTGTTCAGTATCTAAAGCTAAAGAATAAAAATATAGTTGTATGTTCAAGTTTTAGCACTTTTTTTTTCTTTTAACACATAGGTCATCTCCCACCTAGGGAGGGGAAGAAGAAGAAACAAAACTTTTCCTTCTTTTACATTTAGTAATTTATACAGGAGAGGGGGTTACCAGCCTCTATCTCCTGGCATTAGCACATTATCTAAAACAAAATTTTTATTTACAGTGGAACCTCAAAATTCGAACGTATCACATATCGAACGTTTCGAAAATAGAACCCTTTTTTTTCAAACAAACTTTGTCCCTATTATCGAACGCGCCCCTAATTTCGGACTGCCTGGTATGGGACCTGTTCCCCAGCCCGCTCTGTCCACGTCCCCACGCAGGCGCAGCGAGCCAGTCTAGCTTTGTATATGCTTGAGTAAATGCTAACCTGCGCTCTCATTCAAACATTTTACGATTATTTCATTGTGTTTAGTACTTGTGGGACTGTGAAGTAAGCTACCATGGGCCCAAAGAAACTTGCTAGTGGTACCCCTGTGGTAAAGAAAGTGAGAAACACCATAGATGTGAAGAAGGAAATAATACAGAAGTATGAGGGTGGTGTGAGACTTGTTGAGCTTGCCAGGATGTACAGAGGACTGTGTACAGTTATTTTGTGAGACAGAAACAGACGACTGTGGACAGTTATTTTGTGAGACAAACAGACGACTGTGGACAGTTATTTTGTGAGACAGAAACAGATGACTGTGGAGTTTTGTGAGACAGAAACAGACGACTGTGGACAGTTATTTTGTGAGACAGAAACAGACAACTGTGGACAGTTATTTTGTGAGACGGGTCCAGTGACTCCCAAGCTGGTCCTAGTGGCATTAAAATACAGAGAAGGGAAGTAACCCCAGAGAGGGCTTTGATACTGGAAGTCCTCATGGAGAGGGATTCTCCTTCCAAACACTAACTCCCTCTCTCCTTCTCCCTATCTTCCAGATGCCATCACCAATCTTCAATAAAGGTAAGTAAAAATGTTATTTTATATTTATATACATAATTAAACACTATAGTGTTTGTTGTGTGTATGTAAAACTGTAATTAATCTCTATAAATTTTTTTTTTTTTTTTGTGAATATTTTTGGGTTTCTGGAACAGATTAATTGTGTTTCCATTATTTCTTATGGGAAATATTGCTTCGATTTTCAGACTTTTCGAATTTAGAACTAGCTCCTGGAACAGATTAAGTTCGAAATTTGAGGTTCCACTGTACAAATATTTCAAGTAATTTTCTTTATATTGAAGTGTTATAAAAAAAAACATAGAAAATTAGGTATTATCCATCAAATACAGTAAAAAACAATTTGAAATAGACATAAGTGAAAGAATCATCTAACAATAATGCAAAGTAAAGACACATTATAGAAAAACTTTTCTGCAACTTCTGTTATTTTCAATATAGTTGGCAGTATGCCATTGGGTTACAACAATAATTAAACAGAGTAGATTGTTCCATATTTTCATTGAAAAATTATTATTTTTTGACTATTAAGTTTTTAGTTTACTTTTTCATGATGTGAATCAGATTTAAGGAAATCGGTTACTTTCAAAAATATATTGAAAGTTTCTATACTATTTATCGTGAGATGGTAATGAAATGATAATTCTTAAACACTGAAGTAGAAGAATTATACAAGCTAAGGACAGAATCATTCCCAGATGCAGGGTGTATTGGAAGTGTACTGCTTTGTTCTGATATGTTAAACACTGTGTTGGAACTATGGAGGAACTAACACTACATTATCCTGCCTGCTGTGATAAATTTCACACATCCTCTGGTTGAGATATTGTATAGTGGTGGTTTGAATGTACAGTATTTAGTGCAGTGGAATCTCTTATCCACCACTTAACCAACCACAAACTTTAGGTATCACAATAAAGGTAAGACACAATGAAGAACAAGCATTTACCAAGAACTTTTGGGTGTGTATGTAGCTTTATAAAGCCATGGCTTGATAAAGCTCTGTAAATGGCAAAACACTGTTTGAAGAAATGTTTGTTCTGAAACATGTGTCTATTTTTCACTGTTCATGGCAGTACATTATTTAAATATGAGCATCGCATGTTTTTATTGTGGAGTTTCAGTGATATCATTGGCAAGCAAAATTATTGTTATACTCATGGGAAGTGCTAAACTGTAGGAGTCATACAGCATATAGGAAACAGGAAGTAGTCAGGTTTAATCCAAGGAAGGGAAGGATAGCTCCAGTTCCTTGGATGAAGAGCCTTTCACCAACTTCAGTGTACCTTCCCTCCATTTCCTTCCTGAAGGGTGGCGGGCAAGCAAGAATGGGTGTAACTATAATTGTCTTCTACAGAGATGTACAAATATCTGTTTTTTTTTTTTTTTTTTTTTTTTTTTTTTTTTTTTCTAATCCATCTCATTCATCCTCCTTTCCTCCTGCCTAAGTAGAGTTTTAAATGGTCAGTTTTATTTGTCACTTTTTATATTGCCTTTTTTTTTTTTTACCTTTCCTGATTTAATAATTTTCTTTTAAATGTTTTCAGTATGATCTGTGTGTTTGGCATCATTGACCAAAGTAATCTCAGTAATCTCAATGACTGAATCAGTAAATACATATTTGTGTATTATTAATTTTATAGGAAAAAGTCAAACTCATGTTTGAGTTTCCTTTAGTTTTCATACTTCCTCCATCACCAGGTGAGGTGCTAGTTTTACTTATTGGAAATTACAGACAGAATGCCATCTGGTGGTTTTAAAAATAGGCTAACAGAAGGACATAGGAATATCTATCACCCAAGACCTATACCCTTAAGTGTACAAAAACAGAATAACTTCAGCAGTACAAGTTAAGCTTGCAAACATATGAGTGGCATTAAGGACTCTAGACACATTAAAAACATTACTTCATATGTGCACCACGTTATTGAAAATATAGTACTTGTACGGGACCCTCACCTAATAAAACATAACCTGAAATTAAAGAATGTACAAAGTGCATCTAGACAAGTATTTGGGTTGGAAAATGAGCTGTGAAGAAAGAAGGCAGCAAGTTAGGCCTTACATCACCAGAGGAATGAAGAAATATAGGTGCTGTGATCACTACATACAAAATATTGCAGTCCATAAACAGAGAGATTCATCCTTTGCCAGAAATGAAACAAAATAAGAGGACGGTGTTGGAAATTACACACTTAAATGAGTCACAGGGATATAAAAAAAAGTTTCTCAGAAAAGAGGTAAATAAGGCGAATGACCTGAATAATGGCATGGTTGTAATAGACTCCATGCAAGAGTTAAAAAATAAATATAATGGCTAACAAACCACAGTATGGGTGGGGATTGAAATTGTGGCAGTCACGTCATGAGTTGTAATAGTTATTTTTCATCATTTGGTCCATTTGGTCAAAAGTTAAGAGATGGGACCAAGAGCTACAGCTTTCCTCCCTCAAACTATATACTATCTGAAGGAAATATTTCATAAATGATAATTTACTGTAGTTTTGTTTCAGATCAGCTAAGTCATTTGTACCCAATCTTTTGTGGCACTATAATACACTAGTTATAGAATTTTTTCAAGAATGAAATAGATTGCATTTGCTTAGATTTTAAGAAAGCTTTTGATAGCTTATGAACACTTAATTTAAAAATAGGAAAATAACCATCACACTCAAACTAGGTGCTGTAGAATTTGATCATACAGAATGTGATAATGGCAGATTGCATTTACCGAGATTTTAAACAGCTTTTGTTAGTTTATCAAAGATTAACTTAGAAGCTGGAAAATAACCTCTGGGGTGTTATTATTATTATTATAGCCATAACCAAGTACTAAATCTATGAGGGTCATACAATGCTTGCAAGGGATAAGACATTAGTATTTGCCTGGGAAGAAAAATGTGAATGGTGACAAGTTGATAAAATGCCTTTTGGGGTTATGTGACTAGTGGGGCTCTCCAAGAATCATTGTTAATCCATATAAATGATCTAGAAGGAATACGTAATTATATGCGTGTGCATTGGGCAGGAAGGAATAATATCTGATAGTTGTAAGTTAGTGCCAGAGGTGAATGTGGGAGAAGTACTTGATGCAGTGGGTAGAATGAAAGGTAGTAAAGCAGCTGGGACTGATGAGATGTTAAATGCAAGTTTGGAAATTATTTTAGAATAGATGGTGTAATTATTCAATATATGCATAAAAGGAACTATGGAGGAAAAAAAAGGATAAGAAAGAGTAACAGTTGTAGGATAAAAAGCCTGTTAAGCATACTGCTTGAAGTATGTTAGGGGCAAGATAGCAAGTAGGATTCCTTAGGAACAAGGAGGTTTTTAAGAATAGATGTGTAGACCAATATAAGGGAACAATACTTAGGTGAAGGTAAGGAACTGTTTACCATACTTATTGAATTATGATAGGGTTGAAAAGAGAACAGTTTGGCAGATGTTGCAAATGTATGGAATAAGCAGGTTACTAAAAACAGTAAAATTTTAGAGTGAAGCTCATGTTAAGGTATGTAGGAGAGAAGGGGAATATTTTACATGAAAATGCATGCAACAAAATTTTTTCAAGATTGAGAAATTTGAAATATGAAACAAGACAATGAGCCGAATATCTCTGCTTTAAAAGATAGGAAAAAAAATGTGAGAACTACATATAAATTTATGAAAGGGTGTGAAAAGCTGAACGAGTAATTTCTAGGTGGAAGCAATATGAAATCGAGAGGCTATAACTTTAAATCTACATGAGAATCACTATTGCAAATAGCTGTATTGCAAAACATTTCTTCATCAAGAGGTAGATGGCTGGACTGAAATCAGAGGTGAGGTTGTGAAGAGTACAGTAAATCCTCGCTTAACGTCACTTCGTTCAACATTGTTTCTTTATAATGTTAATGGGAAAAAAATTAATTCCCAGCCAGGGTCAGTCTGTGTGGAGTTTGCACGTTCTTCTCATGTCTGCATGGATTTTCTCCAGGTACTCCAGTTTCCTCCCCTATCCCAAAAATGTGCACATTAGGTTAATTTTCATATCTCAGTTGTCCCAGTAACGAGTGAATGTGGGTGGGTGTGTGTGTGAGTGCACCTCGCCATATTTGTTATCATTTTTTTTTAATTACGTGGCGGTAGGAGGTGCTCCTTACAATATTTTGTTTGCAAACTTTTATTCCTTGATTTTACCCTGTTGTAATGAGTGTTAAAAGTGCACTGTGCACTTTTAGCACTCATGTTTGTGTCAATTAGCCTATAGTAAAATTGGTTTCATTTTACACCGTTTCACTTCGGTTCACAGTTTCCAAGAGCTTATCGATGAGGTTAAGTGAGAACTTACTGTATATAAAAACCTTTGAAAATTTTTACATATTTGATAAATTTAGACCAGAAGACCATAAACCCCAAGCATAAGCTGTCATATCTATAATTATATAGGCGATTATACGTATGTTAACACACAGGCATCTTCATTAACAAAACATTGTCACCAGAAGATTATGTAAATAAAATTGTATACTACACTGGCAAATTTTAACCCTTTTCTCTGTTGGTTCCCCAAAAATAAAATTGCTGACAATGTTGTGATTTTTAAAATGAATTATTCTTCAAAACTCGTAGAGGATTTTTTCTGAAAGTAAAGACACCAAAAATACAAAATTTGATGAAGTTCTGGGCACATTTTACCCATCAGTGATTTCACCTACTTTGAGTTCTATTTTAAGTCAGTTCTGTTGGCCAGTTAGACCAAATTCTTAACTATTTTGCTAGTATGCTTTTTGTTCTGTTGAATAGGTGTACAAGAAACTGCCTATTCAGTTACCAGAACTACCCTAGAGATGCACAGAAGTCAGTAATTTGGCCAGTTTTACCCAAAATTCAACAAATTCCATTTTAAAAACAGATTCCAAAATAAACTATTCATTCCAACAACTAAAGCAACCTATCATCTGTTCATTAATTACATCTCCAGGCCTCTCCTATATTACACTTGCTCTCCATTTTTAATTCATCATCGCACAAAAAAAATCTAAGTTTTGCCCTATTTCTCGGATAATAATATACATAACTATAATAATTGGTCATAGTTTAGGGTATCCAAATAATTGAAGCAGATGTAGTAAAAACCCATAAAACAGGCTATGAGGAGATAGGGTAGGGGTCCTTGCCCTTTCTCATGGAAATTGTCAGTAGTCAAATATTTTTGCTACTTTGAGCCCTATTTCAAGCTCTTTTGCTCCTGAAACCAACCAAAATTATCTCTATTTCATTAGTATGTCTTCCATTCTATCAAATGATACCAGTAAAACCTTAAGAAACTCCTAGAAAACACCTCAAAGTTTCTGCTGCACAGACTTATTCTCTCAGGTCTAGGCCAATATTTATCACTTACATCATATTTAAGGGCACTGTGCTTAAACGTAAATTTATACAAACAACACTGGCATCAATAACATAGATTTATGTAAGAGAGGTTGAAAGGGTTAAAATAGTCTTAGTTAAGATATATGGAAAGGAAAATGGCAAAAAAGGCTTTTCACCAAGTATGTTTGGTCAAAATTGGAATTTGCAGTGATAGTGTGGTCCCAGTATCTTAAAACACATCAACAAAAAGGAAAAAATTGCTAAAAACTGACTTAAAAAAAATTACTACTATATAAAGAAAAGCTGAATACACTCGTTTCCATGAGGTGAAGAGGAGTCATAATAAAATACAAAGTTTCTCGTAAAACAATACAAAAGAATAGACAGTTTGTTAGGTTGAAAGAGACAATAGCTAAAATCAGAGAAAAAAGTAGTGATAGAACACTGGAATAAGATACAAAAGATAGTAAGTACCGGCGAATAAGATACAAAAGATAGTAAGCACCGGCGAATCAACAAGAAGCTACCACTGCTGAAAATTTAGAACAAATAATACGTGGACACCACGAGTATAGTTCTGCACTTGTAGCTATGAATAGGTAAATACACAGTATTATTTTTTTATTATTATTAGTAATCATACAATATCATACCAACTACTAGTGTCATAGCATGTCTAATGGGAACCAATTTATCATGGAAGCTTTCACTTTTGAGTCCGTGCACTTGATATATTTATCACTGTGTACTATACACGTGGTTGGATACTGCTTTTTCTCTGAAACAAAATTTGCTAAAAAAAAACGTCTTTATGTTACAGTTTTTCTAAGTATGCAGTGCATTTTCTCTAATTGTCTGAACTGAATTGCTCGTGGAAGTTCAGGATATTGCAGTATAGTAGTTAAAAAATGTAGAGTTCTTGTTTGCAGCCAATCCCAATGCATTTTGTTTTTATGCAGGTATTTTATTAGACATTATTGCTGTTGTCATGTATCATAATACTGTATTTTTGCTCTGAATAATGAGGATTTCATAGATTGACTCAAGTAAATTCTGTCAAACTATTTTCTATTAGCTAAAGTCGAAATGACTGGTACTGTACACTGCTTCAGCACATTAACCTTTTGAGGGTCCGTGCTGTAGATCTACGGCTATATGTTGAGGGTCCAAACACCATGAGCTCAGCTCACTCTGATAAGCTGTGAGTGGTAAATTTGGGCCTAGATATGAGAGAGTACATCTATGTGGTATGTGTGCACCACATAAAACAAATCCTGCAGCACAGATTGCATAATGAGAGAAAAAAACCTAGACCGTAATTTTCGATTAAAACAGTTACTTTGCAATGTTTTTTTTGTATGTTTTTTATAGTTGTATTTGCGATTTCTTGGTCTCATTTGATAGAATGGAAGATATATTACAGAAATAGAGATGATTTTGATTGGTTTTAGTAATGGAAATGGTTTGAAACTGAGCTCAAAATAGCAGAAATGTTAAATTTTTGCCCATGTTCAAGAGTAAACAAATGACCTCACAAGTCTAATACATGACAGCTGGTGAGTCTAATATACATTCACAAATGTGGTGATATTATTTATACAATTATTACAATATTGCATAACAGTAAATCTTCTATTTTTTGGCTTGAATAAAAATTCATTATGTGAACAAAAAATCAAAATGGAATTCATTTGTAAAGCCTGAAAATATAACTAATGGACTGAGGAAATGTTAGTTTAGTTCCAGGAATGCCTGCATTGTTTATTCTGGACCCTGTTTTGAAATTAAAATATTTTGAACTTTGCATTAAATTGGCCAAATTACCAATTTCCGATCACTTTATTTTGTACTTGAAACAGTTGTCTTGGCGATTTCTTGTCCTCAATCGATAGAATAGAAGTAATACTAGTGAAATAGCTAAGAATTTGGTTGACTGGAATAATATAATTGGCCTAAATGGGAGTCAAAGTCAGCAAAATTGCCAATGCATAAATATCGCTGACTCATCAAAATTCACGAGCATATTTTCATAAATTTTCCATCAAATTTCGTACTTTTTGTTTTATTACCTTCAGAAAAAGATTCTCTACCATTTCATAAGAAAAAATGGCAAAATTATTATTTGAAAATTCTTGGACACTGGTGCACACTTTGAAATTTGGCCTTTGGACCCTGTTTCTTGTTTTGGCTCATGAGTATGCCATAATAAACCCCCCATTTACAAGTAAAACTGCCAACCATAAATTATGCCATCTCAGTTTCTGGTTGGCAGTTGACCTTCTTAGATTAAACTATGTATATAAGTTCAACGCAATGTGTTTACAGGAAATATTTGGCGTATTTCATTATCTCTCCTTTCTGATGAAAGTGAAACACTTTTATGAAATTCATTTGTCCTTAAATGCACTGTTTTCTGAAGCTTTCATCATAATTTATTTAAGTTTTAAGACCATAGAGTTTGAAGAACAGTTTTGTAATCATTTGGCAACATCATACAAATATACTGGAGAAAATATTATGTAGTGTAAACATGAAACTTAGAGTAAATTTTATTGTAATACAGTGCCTTGCTGTTCATGTTACAGTAGTTTGTGATCATTAGGGATAACTAGAGGATACAACACATTGTGTTGCTGTATTACACCTACATTTACTTTATCAAATTTGTTACATTCCTTCTAATCAGTAACAAAAAAATTAGTAAAAGCTTAAATTGATTAAATTTTAAATTGTAGATTTTGTTTTATATTCTCTTTGAAATTTTTTTCCTAATTTATTAATATTTTTTTATATTTGTGATTAAATCAAGGTTTTTTATTGCCTTTTTTATAAGTATTGTATATGCAGTATATTATTTAATGATTTTACCTTTCAAAGCTGACTAATTATCTATGTATAGTGTTGCACCAAGTGTAGCCATGATCTAACAGGTAACAGTGGATGAAAGGAAAAAAAGTTTAACCTCATCTTGACATGACAACCTTTTAGCTTATTTAATCTTTAATTTATTATTTATGGAATTAATTTTCAGATTTTCAAGCATTTTATTTGCCACCAGTTTCTGCATGTTGCACTAAACATTAACGATAGTTTTTATTCTATTATTTTCCTAGGAAATGAAGATATGCGTATAATGTATATTAACGATATCTTTCTCCCTTGTTACTTTCGTCCATGTGGTGAATCTCTTGACAAAGTATTTTTTTCCCCTGTTACTTTTGTAGATGTGAATATCTTTGTAAGATATTCAACCCTATTAGCAGTATTAGCTTCATACCTTAATATACAGGAATTGTAAAGATAACATTTGAAGAAAAACTAAATATTAAAGGTGAAAGTGTTGAATGATGATGAAAGTATTTTCTTTTTGGGGATTTTCTTTCTTTTTTGGGTAACCCTGCCTCGGTGGGAGACGGCCGACTTGTTAAAAAAAAAAAAAAAGTCACTTGGACCAGAATCAGATTTTGTATTCAAATAAAACTATACAGTTGTTGCCAAAAATTTTAATTGTTCATTAACTTTGGAAAATGATTGATATATCAGATTTTTTTTTTTTTTTTTTTCAAGAAGTCGGCCGTCTCCCACCGAGACAGGGTGACCCAAAAAGAAAGAAAATCCCCAAAAAGAAAATACTTTCATCTTCATTCAACACTTTCACCTCACTCACACATAATCACTGTTTTTGCAGAGGTGCTCAGAACACAACAGTTTAGAAGCATATACAGGAAGGCCCCACTTATACGGCGGGTTAGGTTCCAGGCTACCGCCGTAAAGCGGAAACCGCCGTAAAGTGGAACACCCTTTTTTTCCACTTACAAATGCATACAAACACTAGATAACAAGTTTACACTAACATATATTATGTTAGCAATAGAACCAGGCATCAAAAAACAATAAAAAAGTACAATACACACATAGTGCACTCATTACTTACCTTAAAATATTTATAGTCTTAATCTAGGGTGAGACAAGTAGTATTTATTGTAAGAAATCAAGTGTGGTATGTATTGTAATAGCCAGGCTACCTCACCAGGCCACCCCACCACACATACTATTCTATGATATTTTAAGCATCCCAGAGCGATAAAATGTATATACAGTTCACTCATTACTTACCTTAAAATATTTGTAGTCTTAATGTAGGGTCAGGAGTAAGTAA